CTAATTTTTGATGCTACTCCGCCCTTAGTTTGATTGTAAAACTCGACCATCGTGGGCTTTTTGGTTAACTCATCAATTGTCCCTTCCTTATCACAAGTCGACAATAGGAATATTGTCTTTTGGGGCTTTGTACTGTTAATGTACTTGCCTGGATGTCTTCGGTTAAAGGTGGTTGTTCTATCACAGAAAAAATGACTTCCTTACCATGTGTTTCATAAGCCGGATCAGCCTCAAGGTGGTCTTCTATCTCACTCTTAGAGCAGTTTTATTCGTCACTATTGTCATCTAATAACAGCTGACGAATAGTATCTAAAATAAAAATATATTCAAATGTAAAAATAATGTAAGTTCTTATTTCAGTGTAGGAAAATTAAGTACAAAGTTTATAAAACACCGAAATAATTATAACACCAAAAGAATTAAAAATGACTTTAAAAGAATAACGTTATTACTAACCTTCGTCGATTCGACGACTCATGGTGGCTGGAACGGCGCACACAGGGCCCCTACACAATAAACACATTCGTGCGTCGCGGGAACCTTGGGTCAACTAAGATTAGCCGGAATCTGCAATGCTTACGACGACGCCCTCAAAATTTATACCACTTTTTTTTGAGATCTAGGGTTAAAATCTGTTGAAATAATACTAGTTTTTACGGAATTTATCGCGTGTATTTAACTTTTTAATTATCCGACGTTTCGAACGCTTTACAGCACTCATGGTCAAGGGCAGGACTGAGATGTTCAACGTCCATATGTCATAGTTAACCGTGGTTACCATAGATTAAAATTTAACTTTTGTTCCGATCTATGCAGTATTAACTTATTAATCTATGGTAACCGCGATTAACTATGACATATGGACGTTGAACATCTCAGTCCTGCCCTTGACCATGAGTGCTGTAAAGCGTTCGAAACGTCGGGTAATTAAAAAGTTAAATACACGCGATAAATTCCGTAAAAACTAGTATTATTTCAATGTGTAGTGTTCGCGTAAATATAAGAAATCATTATTAAAATCTGTTTTTAGTGTAGGCGAGAGGACGCCGCGCTGCCCCATTGTTGCTGGCGAATTTCATGTAAAGTACCTAAATTTAGATAAAATCTTTTATGCGTCTCACAGGGGGCACAGGACTTGTTTCTTTTCTGAAGGAGTTCTAGAGAAATTTATCGCAAAATATTTTATTTCTCAGACACAGGTTTCCTCGTTATGATGTTTACCTTCGCTGCCAATCACGTGGTAAATCAACTTTTAATGGCATACATTAACAATTTCATAATTGCTGGTTAGGGTTTAAAACAGGTTGTTCGCGTACTGAGAAGCTAATAGCCATCGCTTAGCCTCTGAGCTACCACGGCTCATGTGATCTACATATATTTATAAATTCTTTGATACAGAGGTTTTTCATAATTTTCTGGTAAATTAGCAGGTATCAAACTCTGTACTGACTACTGAGACTAATAGACTTTGATAACTGTAACTACTAACCATGTAGTTGCAGTGTAAGAATAATCCCTACCACATAACGTCCCGTGGGTGTCGCAAGAGGCCACAACGAGAAACAAACCAGGAGACTGGCAGCAGCATCCTACTAATACAACAACGAAAACTAAAAATAAAATATGGTTGCAAATAAAAATACAGCAGAACGCGAGTAACCCGGGTTCGATTCCCGCCGGCAATAATGAAATTATTAATTGCAATTTTAAGTGCTTATTTACCACGTACTCGGCGGTGAAGGAAAACATCTTGAGGAAACCTGCATGTCTGAGGAAATAAGAAAAAAAATCGAAGACATGTGAAGTTCGCCAACACGCATTGGGGCAGCGCAAAGGACACTTCCTTGCCCTAAAAAACCCTCTCAGAAATGAGGGGAGGCCTGTGCCCAGCAGTGGGACGTATATAGACTGTAACTTTACCTTTTTGTGGTTGCAAACCCGCCTGCCAAGCACAGCTATAATAATATATGCCATCAAAAACATAACTTGTAAAAAAAAACAAGTCTTGCAACTCAGTTCTTCTACCGTAAAAAGTTGTGAGATCCATGTCGGTTAATTTATTCAGTCCCTACTTAAGGGTCCTTCTCTTTTAAGTTATTACGTAATTAGCTAACCTAACAACATTTTATAGTGACCATATCAATGTTAAAAATCGTTTATATTTCAAATGAATAGATTGACTTGGCCATCGCATGAAAACACAATGTATCTCACAAGTAATACATATCGTCACTGGAAAGGAGAAAGTGCTAAAGCGCCAAAATGGTACTTTTGGAAAATGAGGTTTAAAGTTTTTTATTTTTTATTTTAATTCATATCTTTTTTTAGTTATTGTCCGATCTTATTAATCTAAAAATATAACATTACTAAAATTCTATTGTACCAGCACGTACAAAGTGTTTATGATATTTATCTCTATTTCTCGAAATAGTAGTCGCTTTAGCAAAAGTGCGTTGAGTAATAGGAAAGTATTAGTCAGGGAAAAACTGCTAATCTACTCGAAAGTATGAATCGAATTATTCGAAAAATGCTTATAAATAGTAAAAGCCACTTCTCTTGGAAACGAAAAATGCTTAAGTAACTAAGACCGTATAGATCTAGTAAAGAAAAATTGCTAACGATTGCTTATGATGGTAACATGCCGTCAAGAAGAAATGCTAAACAAGCGATACAGTACAGAGGCTATGCAACCAAAATTGCTTACGTGCGCTAACTTAACCGAATAAATGCAAGCAAAAATGACTAAAGGTAAATTATTGACCGTTACTTTACTCGATTATACTACTTATCTACGGATGGGTTTTAAGAATTTGTTCGAAATAATTGCTTAATAGGCTCATTATGTGAAAATTTAACTAAATTTTGTAGATACTAAGTAATTGATGTGCGGTAAGAATTTGTCAATATAAAATCTAACTCAATGTCTTGAATGGACTAAACTGAAAACCTCTTAGAATGTACCAAATCTGTTGTCGGAATTTGCATTAGAAATAAAACCATTGCATTTAAAAATCAATCAGTTTTATTTATTTATTTTTAATATTTTTCCAAACATTGTTGTGACTTGCTAATAAGTAGTCTTACCATAATTTTTGAAAAACATCAAGTAGGTCCATAATCAACAAAAAAAAACTTAATATTAAACATACTTAAATGTTAAGTAAGCAAAAAACGAACGTAAAAATAAAACTTCAGTATTATCAATTCTTGACTTATTCCAATAAGTTTTTATTATCCTGAATCACAAGGGTAAGTCTGACGTGTGACCTAACGTATTTATAAATCTTAGAACAAAAAGAAATATAAACAAATAACAATAAGTAAATCTAATTTGGGACTTTTGAGATCAGCGTTTTAAAGATTAACCTTAAATCTATCAGTCTTGAATGTCTTCAATGTCTGTATCTGCCAAAAAATCTTGAACATTTACTGCATGAGGTAAAGACTTATATTCTGCGACATACATTGCTGGTATAGTTTTATTGTTACATAATTTTTCCAAATCGGAATATTTTTTCTTTGAAATAGGCAATTTCGATTTGTAAATTAACTTTTGGAATTAATTCACCTTTGCCTATAACCTCGATCTTTTCAGATTCAGCTTCAACTTTCATGGAATATTTGACTTCGATATGGTGCGGATTAGCTTTCTTGAATGTAGTAGTGCGAATCCTGCTTATTTTACCTGCAAGATTGCCTTTGAAGTATCTGTCTAAAATTGTATCCCAGCCCTCAAAATCTTTGTGAGATAGAACTTCAACTTTGTATGGTTTAGGAACTTTTCTTGCTAGAGCACATATGGTTGGCCACTGAGACGGTGCCCATACAATGTTGTTTGTCACACTTTTCTCAATGACTGAGTGCATGGAATCCACAGGCATGTATGTGTGTCCCGGTAGAAGGTAATTCATTTGAATGGTTGATATATTCTTGCATTTTTGCAAAGATTTATGGATGCAGGCCAGAACAATTTTATTTTTATTTTGCCCTGGGCAGGAATCGCAATATAAAAGTAAATGTTTTATAGATCCACGTTCGTCCACCTTTTCAATGTATTTAACCAGAATGGTACAAATTTCATTCGCACCACGTTTGCCTTCGACTTCATTCCACAAGAAACAGAACCCTTCTCGTGTGACGGACTCGTAAAATGTCAAATTATATGTAACGATCTTTCTGCTGTAATAAAGTAACATGCTGTCTCCATATGGAGTATTCAGCACCTTTTGGAGATCGAACGTAGTACAGAGTATACTACTATCGTGTTTACGAAGGTCTTGATGTGTTTGAAATCTCGAATATGTTTCTTCTTTATCTGACATATGTTTTTCTTTTTCTTCCTGATATTCTCCGGGGCTATTTTCGTATTTAATACATTTTACACATTTGTCTTTTCGGGGTACATGGAAAGAAATGTTAAATTCTGTCGAAAATATGTTTTTTAAAAACTTTTTTCACCTACAAAATTCTCCCCTTCATTCATGTTCTTTTGTTTATAAATTTTGTATAAATTGGAAAGGCTTCTATATTCTTGCGGCAAATAACATTTTTTTGAGTTTTTCCTGCAGTAGTGTGAGGGAACTGCTGGTAAACCATTAATATAGTCTCTCACGGATTGCAACAAGGCCGGGGGCGTTTTGTTTGCAGGAACTCCTCTGCCTCTGTTGTCTGTTTTAGAACACCCTTCAACTGAAGAACTGATAACTTGATGTAGAAATCTTTGACCAATATTTAAGGTATTTATAAGGAATCTCAAACAAACAGGTCTTTGGCCTTCTCCTTGGTTAATGAAATATGTATATGTAAATTGCCTTCGGCTCTCTATATCTTTGGTTCTTCTTCGTTTCACAATTTCTTTTTTAGCATGACTTACAAACCAGTCACGCTTTCTTTCCGTACTTAATGACCAATAATGATCAAAAATACCTTTTTCAGATATATGGTAACATTTATTAATACAGTTTACTGGATTGCAAGGATTTGCTTGCATAGATTTTGCCTCAACTACTCTTCCAGTTTTTGAGACATACTCTTCCAGCTTTCCTTAAATTTGACCTTTCTTTATCTTTATTAATTCGTTTGGTTCTTTTCCTAAAATCTGCATAAGATTCATTTTCTCTATTGTTTTCTTCAGTCATTTTCTGTTGCTCTGAGTCAGATTCATCTTTGTTCGAAGCTAAGTGGTCAGTTTTCTTCTTGTTTATTTTTCTGCTACGTTTTTTTGATTTCTTGCCTTGTCTTTTACTGTTTTTATTTTTCTTCTGTTTTTTCTTTCTTCTATCATTATTGGATGTATCTGACTCCGTATCGTCTGATACTTCCCATGAAGAAGAAGTCAGTGTAAATTCTTCTTCGTCAGAAATGAAGTCAACATGTTTGAGAATTAATCTTTTATTTTTTTCAGGTTTCTCTTCTATATATCCAGGTTTGACCTTCCTCCTTTCAAGTTTTCCTTTACTAGTTCCAGGCATTTCGTTGTCAACAATATTCTCAAAGTTCTTGCTTTTTTCTTTTTCAAACTGATTAACTGTTTGTTCTTCCAATTCAATCGTGATTTTGCAACTGTCATCAGATATAATTTGTTGTACACAAACTTCAATCTCCTCTTCTCGAGACATAGAACATAACTGAGAAGCCGAAGAAACTTTATTATACATAGCATGAGAGATACTCGTTGTGGAGGCTGAATCTAGGAGTTCAGGATCTGGGGTGTACTGTGCATTCATCTGGTGGGAGACGGCGTTATCATAACATGTAGATTTTAGATCATGATTCGGGGTGTGCGAAGCGCTCATTGCGTGGGAAGCGTGGTTATCTGCAGTAGATTGAAGGAGTGCAGATGCCGAGATATGCGAAGCTCTCGTCGCGGAGGAGATGATGTCATCATAGGTAAGGGGACGCATCGCATGGGAAGCGTCGTTGCTATAACTAGATTCCAGGAGACCAGGAGTTGAGGTATGCGAAGCGCTAGGGGCGTGGGAGGCGTCGTCGTCATCGGTAAGTTGCTGGAGCCTGCTCGTTGTGGAGGTAGAATCTAGGAGCTCAGGATCTGGGGTGTACTGTGCATTCATCTGATGGGAGGCGGCGTTATCATAACATGTAGATTTTAGATCATGATTCGGGGTATGCGAAAAGCTCATTGCGTGGGAAGCGTGGTTATCTGCAATAGATTGAAGGAGTGCAGAAGCCGAGGTATGCGAAGCTCTCGTCGCGGAGGAGTCATCATAGGTAAGGCAACGCATCGCGTGGGAAGCGTCGTTGCTATAACTAGATTCCAGGAGACCAGTAGTCGAGGTGTGCAAAGCGCTTGGAACGTGGGAGGCGTCGTCATCATGCGGTAAGTTGCTGGAGCCTGCTCGTTGTGAAGGTAGAATCTAGGACCTCAGGATCTGGGGTGTACTGTGCATTCATCTGGTGGGAGGCGGCGTTATCATAACATGTAGATTTTAGATCATGATTCGGGGTATGCGAAGCGCTCATTGCGTGGGAAGCGTGGTTATCTGCAGTAGATTGAAGGAGTGCAGAAGCCGAGGTATGCGAAGCTCTCGTCGCGGAGGAGTCATCATAGGTAAGGGAACGCATCGCGTGGGAAGCGTCGTTGCTATAACTAGATTCCAGGAGACCAGGAGTCTCGACTCGACCGTGTGTGAAGCGCTTGGGGAGTGGGAGGCGTCGTCATTATCGATAAGTTGCTGGAGTTTATGAGTCGAGGTGTTTTCTGCTGAGACAGACATGTAAGTATTACCCTGTATAGCTTTATAATCCGTTGTATTTGCTCGCCGTAGCTTTGTTACAAAATCATAATTGTCTGGTTGCCCCCGTTTTCTACTGGTATCCTGTTGCTGAGCTTGGCGTACGTACTGTTTAATGTAATTTTTGCGTTTGCTTTCCATGACCTACAACAAAAGACATGAGCCGTTACTGTATTTCAATTAAGTTATGATATAACCCACGATAAGTAGGGTGAAATGCAATTTTTATGAAGAGCCCACCCTCCCATTATAGTAGTGCCGCACAGAACTTTCTAAACAGTACTGCATGGCACTGTTAAGCTTATCACCAGAAGACTTAAGTCGGTAATTTCACTGGTGTTATACCTTATTCATGTGAACAGTCTCAATTAAATATTTTGGTTAATCTATAACTTAGGCACCAATTATGTCAAAACTACTCATCACTCTAACCAAACATAACCAAACAATCTTAACTGTACAATACTTTTGCTTAACACTACAATAATACAAAAAAAGTATAAACATACCTTTTTATATTCCAAAATCAAGATCCCAACAATAACACTTAACGCACTTACTTACACGTCACAATAAACATAAACATTACCTATAAATTTCTTTACGAACACCGTCACTAGCGTAGACTAACTAATACTACTGATGTTAGGTGATTACCTACAACCAGCGGGCGCGCGCGAATCCAGAAACGATGTGTTCCGACAGGACGCGAGTGCGCTAAGTGTGCTTACAATCACACGCATATTATAAATATTATGTGCCTAACCGCTATTTACACTACAGTCTCCCAATAGATAATAGTAATATAATAATAATAATAATAATAATAATAATTTATTCATATAGAAAGTGATACAGAGTAGGAGTCAAACAATGCATCTTATATACTAAATATGTTCTTAAAAATGAACTTGCTTCCTAAGTTAGGGTAAACCCTGTGTTTTAGGTTAAGCAAAGCTCTTCCCACTTACATAAAACCTTAAATAAGATACACAAAATATAATGAAATAATACAAGTGACACAAAAAAAAATAGATCCTTAGAATTTAAAAGACATGCACAGATGAAAAAAAAAAAATTTAGCAGAGAAGTAACGAATTGACATCTATGAACACTTATGCAAGTACTGTTAACAAATTCTCCGTTTCTTCATAAGACTTTAGTTGAAGCCATTTTCTGAGGGCAATGTTGCAGTCATGCTTATTCATAGAGTATATATGAACAATTTTGTTTACTTTATTATATAAATATGGGCCAAGAAAGCAAAAATATTTTTTTATAAATTTTGTGTTGGGCTTAAAACTGGATTTAATCACAATGTCTTTACGACGTTTACATTTGATTTTGTCAGGGTCATAATTTATACACTGATGCTGTTTTTTTATAACATTTAGAACAAATAGTTGGCGAACAGTTAGTACTTGGCAGTTATTGTAGAGTAATATTGTAGGATATTGAAATGGTTTAAAAGTGGAGACCTTTAAAAGCGCTCTTTGAGCCCTTTCTAAAGAAACCATGTGCGTTTTTAGAGCCCCACCCCAACAAGAAATGCAATAAGTTAACAAAGATTCACACAGAGCAAGATACAGCTGTTTCAAAAGATATGGTTGCACTACATGTCTTAGATTTTTAAAAACATATATAAGTTTGCGGATACGATTTTTTAAATGTTGAATATGGTGTTCAAAAGATAGATTTTTGTCTAGAAGGATACCCAAATACCTGACAATCTCAACTCTTTCCAATAACGGACATCGGCAGGAAGTGAGAGAGCTAGGATTTTTTAAAATACAGCTATGTGCACGTAGAGAGAAATCGTTTCCTGGTTGCGTCACATCACGAATGGAAAAGGTCAGATATTTGGTTTTCTCCGCATTTAAAGTTAATTTATTAGAGCACAACCACCTTTGTACAGTATTAAATGAATTTTGGGCAGCTTCAAAAGTTTTTTTTCCAATCACCCTCTGCAAAAAGTAGCACAGTATCATCTGCATAGCAAATAGACTTTCCAGAGATGAGCTTCATTTGACAGAGATCATTAACATAAATTGTGAATAAGGTGGGCCCCAGTATACTGCCCTGAGGTACACCGTAGGTCACTGGTAAATCTGAACTCCTGTGATTACTAATTTTAACACTTTGCAATCTATTTTTCATGTAACTCTTAAATAAATTTAACTGCTTTCCACGTACACCAAGCCTTTTAAGCTTTTCCAGCAAGATAGGCACAGAGACCGTATCAAAAGCTTTCGCTAAATCTAGAAAGATCGCTAAACATCGTCTGCCTTTATCCAAATTTTCTGATATAAACTTAATTACGTCATGCATAGCACCATCTGTGTTTTTGCCAGATCTAAAGCCATATTGGTTTTTAGCGAGTAGATTGTTCGTCTCTAAATAGTTGATAAGGCGTTTATTTATTATTTTTTCTAATAATTTGGACATAGCCGGGAGTAAAGCTATAGGTCTATAGTTAGTAACTTGATCTCTGTCCCCCCCCTTTGTGTATAGGGATTATAATAGATTTTTTAAAAGCTTCAGGAAATACACTATCTTCCAAGCACCTATTAAAAATATGCGTTAATATCGGTACAAGTATATTTTTATTATTTTTTAGAAAAACATTTGAAATATTATCCCACCCAGTGGAGCAATTGTTTTTGAGATTCATGATAAGTGATTCAATTTCAGATTCATCAGTATTCAACATAACGAAAGAATTACTAGAAGTCGACATGTCGCTTGAGTCGGTTAAATGATCAGTATCTGCGGTTTTTTCAGCTAAATGTTTTCCAATGTTAACAAAGTAATTATTTACACTATCAACGGCTAAGTCAGCTGTTGCATAAGACTGCAACAGTTCGTCAGCCGATGATTTAGGTTTATTAGTATAGGTTATATTTTTTAGAACATTCCAGAGCTTCCTTTTGTTATTACCAGCACCTAAAATTAATTCACTTTCATATTTTCTTTTAATATTTTTAAGTAAGTTATTACAAAAACACTTATACCTTTTGTAAGTTATTTGTATGGTGTTGTTGTTTGGGTGTTTTTTGGCTTTCTTATAAAGGTTATCTCTATTTCTAACACATCGAAGTAAGCCTGATGTCATCCAAGGTTTGATAATCCTAATTCGGTTGGCGTATATACAAATATCAGTGTTTTTGTTATGTAGTTTAGTGATTATCTCAATTAACCGATTTACGGCGACGTCAGGATCATCAATATCATAAATAAAACTGAAATCTGTGTTTATCATATCCTTATTGAGGTTAGAGTGATTTAATTTAGAGTAGCTGTTAGTTTTTGGTTGAGAAGTGGGATCAAAATTAAGACAAAGTAAAACAGAGCTGTGGTCGGTAATATCAGACTGGATGATCAACGTTAGAGCGGGCTTTTTAGTTTTTAATAATACGTGATCGATACAAGTTTTGCTAACAGGTCTAGTAATCAAATAATGTGCTGGCATAAGACCATAAAATGCCGTCAAATTAAGATATTTTTCTGTATGTGTATCCATATTACTCGTTGAGATGTCGAAATTTATGTCTCCCATGATAACGACATTTTTAAACAATACCACCGATTCTAAGACTTGTTCCAAAGAGATGATAAATGAATCTGGGCTATTATTTCTTGAAGGGGAACGATATATGGCAATGATTGCGAGATCTACTCCTTTTTTAATTACTAAACAGCTTGCGCCCGTAAAATAAGGTTCCTCAACCGTGACACCGAGACTATTTCTTACATAAACTGCGACACCATCATTTTGGTTAAAACATTTTTTGTTAGTATATCCAATATAATTGTCTAAAGTAGGGATATTTGGGTTACATAATAGCCAGCATTCGGTAAGTATAATTATGTCGCAAACAATTTTGGTTCTTTCCAAAAGCAAAGCAAAATTATCAAAATTACAACCTATACTTTGTATATTTTGAGTTATAATTTTAAGGTAATTTTCAGTTTGAGGCACATGTGATTGGCAAGAGTCAACGTCTATTGAAACTGCTCTAGATACCTCAATGGAGTCAAGATCACCAAAAACTGCTAATTCGTCGAAAACGCGTAAAAGCAATATAATGAACCGTAATCTTTGTATACCTCTTCGATATTGAGATATAATGTGTGACTACAGAAGTTAGTTAAATATGATAAAAGTGACTCAAGCATTAATAAATAAAGGTCCCTAATTAAATCACAGTTAATCGAAATGGCTTCCTCATTATTATATTCACGTCTTGGTATCAATCTAAAACAGCACTCATCGTAATTAAGTAAATTAAGCCCTTGACAGATATATTCCTTAAATTCCATATGTACAATATAAAAATAACTTTTTAATAAATTTTGTACCTGCACCATTGCAAAATTAATACAATTTTCATACAAGTCCAAAAAAAACAATATGGGATGTGTTATCACCCGTATAATAAAAGATATAAAATTTTAACAGTTTTTGTAAGAAGCATGCATCATATAGTAGT